CTATAGACAGAAACATGTTCTTAATGATTAAAAACAATCTCTAGGCCTAGTAGAGTACCTGGAATGCAGAAGGCAGTGAAACATCCTTTGAATAAATTAGTGAATGAGAGAATTGGTGAGTGAATGTATGATTAACACGTTTGGAGCGTTGTGTTCTGTCCTTGGTAGAGGCTTGGGGAAGTTTTCACAAAATGGGGAGAATCTAGAGAAAAGAGGCCAGGATATTAAACTATTTCATATGAAGTATGGTTGAAGTTTCTGGGAATGTTTTTTCCGCTTGGAAGAAAGACACCATCGGATGGAGGAATCATGGTCATCTTGCCGGTGTTTCCTAGTTGTCCCAAAGAGATCTGATCTCTTTCCTTTGAATAACCATGACATTTCATGTTTCTCTTGGAAATGATGATGATGACAATAATAATAGTAATAGTAGTGATAGTATTAATAGCAGAAGCAGCTGTCCTTTACATGTTTATCTGCGTGCTTGCTCTTTGTGTGTGTGTGTGTGTGTGTGTGTGTGTGTATTCACACATTGCCGCCAGTTCTTTTTTTCAACAGCTATGTAATTAGACATCAGTATACCCAGTTTGCAAACAAGGAAGCTGAGGCTTGATGAGGTTAAGTAACTTCCCTAAGGTCATAGCTACTCATAGCTATGTCTTAAGGCTAGAATTCTAACCCAACTCTGTTTCCAAATCTGATGCTTTTGTGTGCTCTTTGTATATTTTTCTTTTTATATTATAGCAGTTTGTGAATCTGTCTTATTAAACTGTAACCTCCTTCAGAGCAAACAATTTGTCTTATTAATATTTAAACTTCCTATAATGCTTTCTTCTACACGTGGTAGATACTTAATAAGAATTTCCCAAAGAGTAAGTTTAAGCATTTGAAGGGAAGTCTTAGAAAAAAAAAGAAATAGACCTTTCTTTGTTATCCCATAAGGCAAAATTTGGTTTATCGGGCAAACTTAAGATAAATTTCAGTTGTATGTAATGATGTTCTGACAACCAGAGTTGCCTAGTTCTGGAACGGCATGTTTTGTTAAGTTGGAAACTTCCCGGCAAAGCTGGAGTAGTGCCTGGTAGGGAAGGTTGTTTTAGAAGGAAGCCTTCTTGAGAGGAGACAGCCGACCATGGAACGTCTTCATCTCTGAGTCTAGGAGATTGTTGGATCATAAAGGGTTTGCTAGTGTTTTTGTATCAGATTATGTAGTAATTTCTTTGCCCTTTAATTAACTTCAGTATTACAAATTATTCCAAGTGCTGAATGTCTGTAACACAGTCCTTCTGAGTTATAAGGCAGAAGTAAGATGGAGGGGACATTAAAAAAATAGGGTATAAAGGGGTATGGCTTTTAGATCAGCCTTTCTTCCTATATGATTTAAGCAAGTAGAGTGTACTTGGAGCCTGTGTTTCTTAATTAGGATGATAGGAAACAACACGGCATTTCTCAGTGACTAGGGCTTTCTGAATTTATTTTATTTTATAAATGTATTTATTTATTTTTGTCTGTGTTGCATCTTCATTGCTACGCGTGGGCTTTCTCTAGTTGCGGCGAGCGGGGGCTACTCTTTGTTGCGGTGTGTGGGCCTCTCATTGTGGTGGCTTCTCTTGCTGCGGAGCATGGGCTCTAGAACGCAGCCTCAGTAGTTGTGGTGCACGGCAGCATGTGGGATCTTACTGGACCAGGGCTCGAACCCGTGTCCCCCCCGCATTGGCAGGTGGATTCTTAACCACTGGGCCAGCAAGGAAGCCCCGGGATTTCTGAATTTAAAATAAAAATTTCATGACAGTCTTCTTTAAAAGTTTTTCTTAAAAGAAAGGTTTATTGAATTGTAATTCTCATACCATACAACTCATCCACTCACAGTGTCAATTTAGTGTTTTTTATTATATTTAATTTTAGAACAGTTTCTTGCCTAAAGCCCCAGCTAGAACCTCTGGTGCAGTGTGTTTTTGTTTTTGTTTTTTTCCCAGTACAATGTTAAATCCCCATGGTGTCCTCCACATAATGGAAGAAGAGGACCCAGACTTTTAAGCATTTAGAAAAGGGACAGGGAGGAAACCCCAGGGGAAAGCAGAAAACATCAGAGGCTTCATAGAAAAGGAATCCAAGTGAATGCTGCTACGTAGAAGGGTGGGCTGAGGATGTGCTTAGCACAGATGTGATGTTGAGCCTGGCTTTGAAGGAGGGGTCAGACACAACTTGGCAGAATGGGATGGTAATAACAAGAGAGACAAATGATGAGTGCCCGGTGATTTGCAGCTGGAGAGGATTGAGGTTTGGGAGAGGCAGAGAGACAAGTGATAGCCTGCCTGACTCGGAATATCTGAGTTAGAACATCATGATGCACAGGGCTGTTAGGTCGGAGTGACAATCAGTAAACCCTTTGAAACAACATGTAATTTAGCTTAGATGAGCTCAGCCAGTCTACAAAGCCTTAGTGCGTTTGTGCAGTGACTTTCGAAGGAAGAAAGCTGGCAACCGTGGACAAACCCAGTCTCAAAATTTGTCTAAACTTCAGTCTTCCCAGTTTTGAATTTTATTTTTATGTGAAAGCCAGCTTCCAATCGGTACCCCCAATGCATTTCTTTAAAACATATTTTACTCATGCTTATATATTTTAAATATACCTGGAGACTGTAGCTCTTCTGTAATCTTAATGGCAATATGCTCAGTTTTGCTCTATTAGGGTTTTGGTTTCATAAAGCATTTCATAATTTTATCTCAACTTGCCAAAGAATGACTTGATTGTTGGTTTTTCACCTGCACGGTGAGCCATCTGGTGCTAAAGATCATTAATATTAATTGTTATCTTTCCCCAGTCAGCCAGACTTGAAAGCATCTGCCCCATTAGAAAGAGAGGCACAGAATCAATCTGCCATGTGAAGCAAGAGGCTCTGCAAAGAAAACTTTCACTGTAGAGCATTTGACATTAGACTTTTCAACGTTTAAATGTTTAAAGGTGGTGCATATTTTCTAATTTTTAAACATGTACTGTGCTTGGATTGAAAATCATGCGGTTAGCCAATCTGTCAAAAATGTACTTGCATACTTTATTGTTTTTACCCTCACTGAGAGTATTTTTACTCTCCAGGGCTAGTGCTTCTTTACCATTTACTAGCTGTGTTTGACGTCTGGGCAGGTATAAGAGGTCTTATCCGAAGTTTCCTCATTTATAAACTCGTGCGTAATATAATTGAGCTCCTGAAGTGCTGGGGAAGATTGCATGGTGCCCCCAGGATGAGCTGTTGATGTTCAGCCTCAGCACCACACCCACTCCCACGTGGGAGCCACCTTTTCCCAACAATGCAGTAGCTCACACATAACTCATTGAGATTTTAATTAACGTCAAAATAAATCAGCAAATTTGTGAATTGCCTAGCCTTGGAAATTCGTTTTCTATGCTGGTTAAGCCAGAACTTAAAAACGACAGTCCCCCAAGTGTAATGAGGTTTCATTTGCTTACGTTCTCTGAGTTTTACATTGCCTTTCTCAGAGGAATTGAGAGCCTCTGTTGGATACAGGATCTGTTTACTTTTTTCAGCTGTTTAGGAAATTCCAGCAGGATGGATCGCTAAGTTGTGCCACTTTACGTGCCAGGGAATATCAGTCAGCAATGAAATCAACATCATCAGGCCCGTAGCATCTTAGTGAGTGGATTTAGGTACGATGATTCCAAGTGAAATAGGTCACACGGAAAAAGGGGAAGTGGCTGGTTAAGCTGTATCATGATGTAGGCCATACATGCAGAGAGAGAGTTGTAAAAAGAAAAAAAGTGTTGTTTATACTTCTGTTGAGACTTCTACTTTTTAAACCGTGTTCTTAAGCACCCTTCATTAGATAAGGTAACCTATTCTTCCATAAGGGAATATTTGAGAATGAAATCGAGTGGCCGTAAGGGCTCACTACAGATGACTTCTTATTAACTAAATAACTATAGAGAATTGCCTTTAATTTTGGGTCTCCTGCTTCGATATTAGACTTATCATTGCAGAAGCCGTTGTAAAGGAGAAGCAGTACTTTCAGCCGACCGTATGACTAACGAGGGAACTCTTAGTCTCTTTTTAAAAACGATATTAAGTTATGAAAGAGTTGATTTTTCTCCTTGCATTGAGAATGCCTTTTATGTTTTTCACCGTGCATATAAATTTTGTTTTGAAATGGCTAACCCACTTAATGTTTCTGGTTCCAAAAGACAATGATTTTATAATCACAGTTTTCTGGGTTTGGCTGAGTTGTAGCTACTTAGTTGTATCTTGTTTCGTTCTGCGGAGTGTGCATGTGTGAGAGAGAGGAAAAGTTGAAAAGACTACCCTCCATGAAGGTAGATGTGATCTTAATCCTGTTGTTTGGAGCACAGGTGACAGGGCCTGGAAGCCTCAGGAGGAAATATTTTAGCTACAGCTCTTGTAGTCCAACATCAGGTTATTGGAAAAGGCTCCGAGAGCATCTACCAGGGTTTATGAAATAACGGGACTGCAATGTGAAGCTAGAGATATTCTTTTAAAAAAATAACTGTTTTGTTTTGTGATCACTGTGTGCAAAGCATGATGATGTGCGTTGTAGATAGGGGAAAGGAAGAGAGTAGTGGGGGTCTCGGCGTGAGAAAGGGAGTCTGCATAGAAACTTAGGGCAGTTAGGGAATAAAGTGAACAGTGGCTAGAAGAGTCAGGGCTGCAAGCATGTTCTGTATATTTTAGAGAGGAATTTCATGATGAGGCCATGCTGTGTATGACGTAAGGCCTCCTGCAGCTTAGTGTAAAAACATTTGGAGGTAATGGTCATTTCCCCACCGAAGTGTTTTTTTCTTTTTGTCTCATTTTGTTACTAAAGTTTTAGATTCTCTTCAGCTGGCCCTTCTATTCTGTCACTGTTTGGACTTTACCTAATCTTTACCATGTCAATTTAACATGTTTGTTATTGGAAGTTTAAAGCAAATAAAGCATGTTATATGACTTGCAAGCCTTTTTTCTTTACTTTTTTTCTTCTCTCTCTAGACACAGGTAATGTACAAGTGGATAGAGCCCAAAATCTGCCGGGAGGATCTCACAGATGCTATTAGGTTGCCCCCTTCTGGAGAGAAGGAGGATTGTCCACCTTGCAACCCTGGATTTTATAACAATGGATCTTCTTCTTGCCATCCCTGCCCTCCTGGAACGTTTTCGGATGGAACAAAGGGTACGTGATATCAGTTGGTTCAAGAGTTGGACCTTGAGTAAAGTAAACTTGTTGGACCACATTGACATTGTCCTGAACTGTTTTTATGGAAAATTTTTAAAAACACATAATTGTCTTATCTCACAGACTATAGAAGAGTTAAGAAATATAAGGGAATTGTGAGACCGCAGTAGCTTATTCAGCATAGCATAAGGATAGTTTTTAAGGGCATTTTGTGTAACACACAACCTCTTAACGGGATGATGCCTTGGATATTTATAAGAAAATTCCACCAGTTTAAGTGATTATGGATAAGCGCTCCTTTTCCAGTGTGTGTGCACACATATATTGATACAAGCATAAAATACTTCTATTTCAACTGGAATAATCACATTTTATGCTATAATAATAGCAAAAATTGATTATTTTGATCAGATAGCAATTAAAATAGTTCCTAAGTAGATTGTTTCAAAGTGTACGTTTGGGAAAAATTTAGTACTTACCAAACAATAATAAAGTGGTTACGGAATTTGTTTTAGTTTTACTAGATAAAGATTACAGTGCATTTTTGTGGCAGGTATCTTACTTGAATATAGCTGTGCTGTATACCTAATGTCCAGAGCCTCTGAGAGCCTAAAAAGGACTCGAGAGTTGAATTGACTTGGGTACAAATCCACTTGCTGCAGGCTACCAACAGTGTGATTTAGCCACTAATTTGAATTCAATTTTCTCATTGGTAAAATTGCAGACAGTAATATCTAGCTCGTCATCACCGAGCAGGTTATATAAAAATGTCTCCTCCAGTACTTTGGTACCAGGAAATGCTTGCTCAATGAACATTTTCTCTCTCTTTCCTTCTTTTACTGTTGTGATAATGCCAAGTGTCTTGGCTAAATAAAAAAAGTGATTGTAAGAGACCCTTTTATTTAGTGTCATAGACGTTAATTTAAGTCAGGTTTATTTATAAATCTCTTTCCACACCCCCTCAGCTCCCATCATCACTTTTAAGTATAGCCAATATTTTGAATTTCAAGTAATCAGTCCGTAACTAAATGGTGTAATAGTCTGTTAAGTTTAGTAACTAGGAGGAAGGGTGGAATATTTCCTTATTTATGAGGTAGAGGAAACTGATTCTGAGATCACATGTAAGTGAACTTATTTCAGAATCACCCTTCTTATGGAAGGTAGTTTCAGTATTAGCAGTTATTCCCAGAAATGCAAGGAAAAATTATCTTAAAAGATTTTGTGTTCTTTTCCTTTTTCATGTTAATCAAGTATATATGTCCATACTCTATCCAGAATTATTTTTCTTTCTACACTGTTCTTGAAAAAATTGTTAATTCTTAAGGGAACTGGTGGTTTACTATCTCTCCTTTCCACTTGCCTCTCTGCTAGTTAAAGTTTAGTAGTGCTTGGAGCAGAGGAAGAGGAAATTATCCGGATGTGATTTAATTGTAATTCTCTTCCCCTTTTGTCTCCTGTAGAATGTAGACCATGCCCAGCAGGAACAGAGCCTGCACTTGGGTTTGAATATAAATGGTGGAATGTCCTTCCTGGCAACATGAAAACCTCCTGCTTCAATGTCGGGAATTCAAAGTGTGACGGAATGAATGGTAAGTTCAGAATCAGCCTTCTCAGTGTATTTTGGTGGTAGAGACTCTTGGACTCACCTGTGTAAAAACACACTAAATATGGCTATGAGGAACTTCAATCTTAGCATTTGGCTACTTGCCTGTCTTCCCAGACCTCACATAAAAATAGTAAATATGGTGTCATAGCCACGTGACTGCCCTCTAAGAATATAAACTATTTTGCATTTTTTTGGAGTCAGTTTTGAAGTAGATGTTGCGGATCACCATTTATGGTTGTTATAAATACCAGAATAGATCGCCAAGGGAGGCAATGAAATTTGTGTTGTTTGCCACTTGGAAGAGTCATAGTGTATATATAACACTGTATGAAAGCATTTCTGCCTGGATTGGTTTTCTGGCTCAGCACTAAGCCATGAGGAGGGGTTACATCATCTCTAACTCCCCTGGCCTATGAAGTCTATGATCGTGTTTACAAATGTATATGAACCTCACTTACTGAAAACTTGGAAATGTGGTGGAGTTCTATAGGACGGTTGCTGAATTTTATTTGTTCTTATATTTTAAGTGCATGGTGAGCCTACCACTTAGTTACTCTGCAATATTTGTTGGTCAAATGAATGACAATATCTATGTATGTGGGGTTTTTTTGTTTTTTTGTTTTTTCTTTGCGGTACGCGGGCCTCTCACTGTTGTGGCCTCTCCCATTGTGGAGCACAGGCTCCGGACGCGCAGGCTCAGCGGCCATGGCTCACGGGCCTAGCCGCTCCGCGACATGTGGGATCTTCCCGGACCGGGGCACGAACCCATGTCCCCTGCATCGGGCAGGCGGACTCTCAACCACTGCGACACCAGGGAAGCCCTATGTATGTGTTTTTAAACTTGACACTAGAAATAGGTGTTATAGATACTAGGGTTTTACACTAAAATGTGCCCTTTACTTTTATAAGCTCATTGGCATTTTTTTATCAGTTCACTTTTTCTCAATACTGTATTTTAGATCATTGTAAAAGAAAAAAAAAAGCTTTCTAATCACATCTGTTTTAAATCAGCACCTATCTGAAATAAACAGGCTTGGGATGTAGGAAGTGAGATGTACACATGAGATGTACACATGAGTAGGAAGTGAGATGTACACACATGAGTACTCAGGTTGACAAATCGTAGGTCCTTGAATGATTTTGGTTAAACAGATGCGTGAAAAAAAGCCTTTATACATAATGAACATTATGGAATAGTTCTCTTTATCAACTAATAATACTACTTCTGGGAATTTATCCTAAGGGAGAAGAAAAAAATAACACAGCAGTAATTACCTGACGATAAGGGTTTATGTTCCACAAAGATCCTTTGGGTGAACTCTAAGTTGAGGAAGTTTAAGACATAGAAAAAATAAGAATGGGAATGTATTGAAAGCATTGATACATTTGTGTGTGTGTGTGCATGTGTGTGTGTTCACTTATTAGTGAAGATTATCTGGAACTTTTGTTTAGTCTTTTAAAGAAGTTACTCTTAGTCTAACTCTCATGACAGTATTTGACTTAGCCACTTGCTTACTCATTCACTAGAGGCTGTAAATTAAATTTTTTCTGATTTTCAGAAATGTTCAATTATTAATTTAAAAAGTATACATCTTTGCAATATTTAGTATGCGATATCGAAAGAGCAGACAGTAATGTGAAAAATACAGAGGTAAAAGGTGATGTATATTTTTGTGACTGGTGGTACAGTAACCAACCTTGGGAAAAGCAGTGCTCAAAATAATGGGGGTCAAAGCTAGAGGCCCAGGGCAGCCTGTCTCATGAAGTCGTTACTCCATCATGGAATTAAAGTGGATGTGCTTTGACCAACTTGACTGTGTGACTTGCAATGCTTTGAGGTTTTTTTGTCTTGTCAGTCTGAATTTACCACACTTGTGGAACAGGTATGTAGAAGTACATCTTTATGTACTGGAATTTTGCCCAAGAGGAATTCAGAGTTGTAAACAAATTAGTGTTTATTCATGAAGCTTTCATTGAGCATTACCTATAATACCAAAAATGGAAATAATCTAAATTCCAGCAATATGATAATGTTTACAAAAGTTATGCTGTACTAATTGGATGAAATGTTATGTAATCATTAAAAATGACAGCAGGGGCTTCCCTGGTGGCGCAGTGATTGAGAGTCCGCCTGCCGATGCAGGGGACACGGGTTCGTGCCCTGGTCTGGGAGGATCCCACATGCCGCGGAGCGGCTGGGCCCGTGAGCCATGGCCGCTGAGCCTGTGCTCCGCAATGGGAGAGGCCACAATAGTGAGAGGCCCGCGTACGGAAAAAAAAAAAAAAAATGACAGCAGACGGAAAACTGTTTGGCAGCGTTTCAAGCATTTTGAATGGTCCCATTCTCCAACTCAATAATTCCACTTCTGGGAATTTATACCAAGGAAAAAATGTGGTGTAAAGAAAGAAATTATGCACAAATATGTTAATTTTAGTGTTATTTATGAGAGTCAAAAATATGAGAAAACAAAGTTTTCAACAATGGGGTATGATTAAATAAAATGATGATATAACCATACAACATATTGTTAACTCTTTAACACTAGACATAGAAAGGATTTTTAATGGGGAAGTATTTTTGATACAATGATTATTAGAAAAGTGAGACGATAATGCTAAATGAAAAACAGAAAATACGGTAAATTATGCAATAAGACCTAAAGTATATTTTTAAGAAAATTATGCACTAGAAAAAGAGAGAAAAGAAACACAGTGAAATGTTCAGTCTATCACTTGGGGGTGGGAGGTTTCTGAGAAGTCTGAATTACTTCATTTTTTTCATTTAGTTTACTCTATTTAATAAATATTCCTCATGTATACACATTGCTTTCAAAATCAGGATAACAGCACAAAATATTTGTTTAAAAATATATTTATTTGACCCAGTAGTTCTTTTACTGGGATTCTTTTCTAGAAAAATACAGGAAAGCTTTACCGAAAATATCTTCATTATAGTGTCACTTCTGCTCGCTAAAAGATAAAACAATCCAAATGGTTACATTGAACGTGTGGTCAATAGGAGGTAAGTCCTGTAGTATGAGTGATTTAGTAAATTATGGGAATTAATTACATCTGTCTACATGATAAACTATTAATTTAGTCATTTAGCATGTTGGTGAAGACTTTATACATAAAAATGCTTATGCAATAATGTTAATTCATAAAACTATGGAACAAAATGTTATCAACGATAAGATCTCAGTTATGTAAAAACATGTATGCATCAAAAAGATAGTGAAAAGAAACACCTCAGAATGTTAACAGTAGTTTTTTCTGAGTGATGAGTTTATAAATAATTTTAGTTTTCATCTTCAATGTTTTCTGTAGCTTTCAAAATTTTATGATAAATGTAAATATGATTTCTAAAACAAAAATCTTAAAATAGAAATTGTGGGGCTTCCCTGGTGGCGCAGTGGTTAAGAATCCGCCTGCCAATGCAGGGGACACAGGTTCGAGCCCTCGTCCGGGAAGGTCCCACATGCTGCGGAGCAACTAAGCCCGTGCGCCACAACTACTGAGCTCGTGCTCTAGGGCCCGCGAGCCACAACGACTGAGCCCACGTGCCACAACTACTGAAGCCCATGCGCCTAGAGCCTATGCTCCGCAACAAGAGAAGCCACCGCAATGAGAAGCCCGCGCACTGTAATGAAGAGTAGCCCCCGTTCGCTGCAACTAGAGAAAAGCCTGCGCGGTAGAGAAAAGCCTGCGTGCAGCAACGAAGACCCAACGCAGCCAAAAATAAATAACTAAAATAAATAAATTTATTTAAAAAAATAGAAATTGTGTATAGAAACATGGAAAATGTGGGATTCATTCTGAGGGATAAAGCAAAAGACAAAGGTGCTGCAACAATGTATCACAAACTGGGGGGGGCGGTTAAAACAACAGAGATTTACCCTCTCACTTTGCAGAGACTAGAAATTTGAAAGGCAGGTGTGGGCAGGGTCGTGTTCCTTCTGAAGCAGAGCATCTGCAGGAAGACCCTTCCTTGCGTCTCCTAACTTCTAGTAGCTCCAGGCACTCTGTGGCTTGTGGCAGCGTAGCCCGTCTCTGCCTGTCTTCACGTGAGCATCTTTTCCTTGTGTCTCTGGGTCTTTACACGATGTTCTTCCTGTGTGTCTGTGTCTAAATATCTCTCTTCTCATAAGGACACCAGTCATATTGGATTAAGGCTCACCCTAAGGACCTCATCTTAACTTGATTATATCTGCCAAGATTCTGTTTCCAGATAAGGTCCATTCATGTGTACTGGGGATTAGAACGTCAGTATATGTTTCTTGGGAGGGGATACAGTAAAACCTGCAGCAACAGGCAATGTTCAAACATGAGAAATAGTTTTTTCCTCTTGCCAGGTTGTTGGTCCCCTGCAAACCTCCATGCTTATCATCCGTGTTACTTCTTTCTTTTCTTTGGCCTTCTCTGCTATTCCATTGCCCCGCATGCCAGCTGAACACTAGGAAATGATCTTAGAGAAACCTTCGTAAATCCCCCCTTTCTTGGTGTAGAATTCCTCCACGTGGAAATATCCCTCTCCCTGTGACCCCCACCACAAGTTTTCAGTCTCTCTACGCTTAACTGCCTCTCACATTACTTACACTGCAGTCAAGGGCCTGGTGTCCCACTGGCTCAGACTGTTTTTGTGGCTGTTCTACTCTTAGCATTAGGAAGTGATAGCTGCTTATCTCTCTTTTCAACCACATGAACCTTTAGAGAGCAAAACAATTGGCATTTCTCTCTTACTCAGGTAGCTTCGTACATAACCATTTTTCGAACTAGCTTGATTTATGTATATTCCACATATCACCTTTCTATGAACTGCTGATGATAACATTTCGAAAATTGCCACATCACCAGTACAGCACTGATATTAGTCTCTTTCCCAGTTTCTCTCTTATGCCTGTTCAAGTAGCAGAAGTTGACATGTTTTTTGGAGGTACGAGTGTGCATGTTAAGCATTGCCATTAGTTAATAACCTTGCTTGATGGTGTGTGAGGGCTGCGTCTCCTTTCCTCATTTCATGGTGGCCATTTCAGCCCATGGCACGCTGATTGTTTCTCTGCAGAAGACAGACCTCACGTCATCTTTTATGTGCATCTCTATTACCTCATACTATTAACAGTTGTTAGCTATGTCTCTCATACTCTACTGATTCCATAGTGAGGGTGGACCCAGTCTTGTCTTTCTGTCCCTAAAGTAGGTCATGGTTTGTGGCATTCAGTGAAAGCCTGTTCAGTGAGTGAATAAGTGAGTGAATGCAGAACAGGGGTTAAATTAGGGAACAACAATACAACAAACTCTAGGAAAGAACTCCAGGCCCCGCATCTTCATTGAGTAATTTGAAGTTTCTATTTCCCATTGGTTACCTGAAGACTAAGATATTTTCATCTTAGTATATCGAAATGGATAAAGACCGTCTGTTCTAGTTAAAAAAAAAAAATCATGCCCCATTGAGAAAACTGTTGTTAATTTGACCATTAAATACCTTTGATGCAAAAATATGCATTACTTGATTCTTCCTGGAATATCATATGCAACATTTTTATTGGTATCTAGGAGTCTACCTCTGCAGGCAGCTTGCACCTGCAATCTAAAATTGGGAATTCTTTTTTTGTGGCCTTATATAAAAAGATTGTTGGAAATCATTACTGGAATTTTTACTGACAAGGATAACCTTTATCATTTCTAGGTTGGGAGGTGGCTGGAGATCATATCCAGAGTGGGGCTGGAGGTTCCGATAATGATTACCTGATCTTAAACTTGCACATCCCAGGATTTAAGTAAGGAAAACCAATTCTGGTTCCCTTCTGTGGGAATCCTCATGCCTGTTTCCCTA